CACCGGTTTTGCTGTTTATTTATTGTGTTTATTACGAATTAAAAATTTTCCAGTGTAGGTGGGAATTCTAGACAAATCAGAGAAACTTTACACCTTAATGCCTCTCTGGACACCCACAATTATTATCGTTTATTTGTTGTTGCTATATTCTGCTAATTTGGTTTATTATTGAATAAATTGTTATAAATCATATGCTGCAAGAAGTACAGAACGTATGTGGCATCGAGACAAATTTTCGTTCGAAATTATCCGTTCGTTTGAGGAAATTGACTTTAAGAAGTATGCGAATGTACAGAATGTCGAGAGAATGACAAAATCACTATTTGTAGGGAGTTTGAACATTTACTGTTACGAAGTAATTGTTTATAGGAAACAGTATTTACATTTATGAGTTCTTAAAAATACGCAGTGACATACGAAAGCATTCGAACACTAACAGTAGACTAGATACTATGTTCATACTATGTCACATAAAACATTTTGAAAATTTTTTGACATTGTAGTAAGATATATCGGTCAGTATATAAAACGCATATAAGTAGAAACTACAAGATACTTAATTCAGGTATGTATTTCGCGGAGATCACAGCCAATTATCAATTGTACGAAATGAATCTTAATATTCAATATACAGTTTTAAAAATATTTGTTACACCTTGTGATGATTAGTTATCCTCTGTTATGAATTTTTTTATTAAACACACTCCCGTTCAGAAATTTGGAGCAGGCCAGAGTTTCAAAAGAAATAATGATCGTTGAGTAAAGAAACTATTTAAAATATCTTTAAATTTAATATTATTATAATAATAATATAATGATATATCGTTTCATCATATCATTTAACAAGTAAACTTAAATTGTAATTTAAAGTATCGACACTGTAATTGATTGTTTAAAATATATTCTAGAAATCTCTAGAAATTTATACTCTATTTCAAGAAACTCTATGAAATCTATTTCATTCAAACGGTGCTCCAAGTATCTGAACAATCTACGTACAATATATTCGCAATAAATTCATTTCCAATTTGGTTTCAAATATCCATTACCAATACAGTGTGTTGATAAATGTTCAAATTTGGATATATATATATATATATATATTTCACATAACGCGCGCGCGTGCGTGGGAGTTCTCCGTGCATGCTGACTCTTTCGAGCCACCGGAAAGTGAAAATGCTTCTCGCCTGATCCTTCGAGCTTCGTTATTCACGTCCATTACGATCGTCCTTCTGTCACGCAAAATATCGCCATGCTGAACTCTAACAATGGTTAATCGCGAAATGGACATTCAGAGAGTATTGCGTGATGATGTGTACGGTTATTGCGCGATAAGCGTGGCACGTGAACTTTCGAACATGTGATTGGCTGCCACGGGGGGCGTGCGTGTGTGACAGACGTATGTACATACGTTACTCTAACGTGCAAAGCAAAGGAATTGGAAAGAGACGGGAGGAAGGGACGAGCAAAACGGTAAATATGATTAGCGATCAGAGAACGATATACACACTCTCTTTCCCTTGCATAAGTATGTACATACTACGGAGCTGCCAAGGCATTAGCCGTGAATCAGAAACAATTCTTTGAGTCGTCCAAGTCGTTACTCGCCGAGTCGGCCTCTATTTTTCTTGACAATAGAATTCAATTATTGGAACGTGCATTGTCTGCTCTTTGTATAGGTACATATATATATATATATGTATGTGCATTTATACGGCAAAGTACGAGAAGGTGGAAAAAATTGCGAAGGTTATAAATGGCGTCTTATTACGGGCGCATTGATGGAAACAATGATAGGATGATCGCGCGGATTTCTGTTACGCTAATCATCGTTCTGATGAATTGTATTGTAGGCTAGATTGCCAGATAAGTTGTCGTTACCTGTTCATTAACAATAAATCACGGGAACTGAATGAGACGAGGAGAGAAAAGACGAGTTGAGGTATTTAATAAATTGGGAAATCAATTTTTTTTTTTATTACGAAACGTTATTTATAATAAACGAGACTTTGCCTTGGCACCGGTCACATTGTTAAAGAATTTTGTATTAATGTTGTTGCTGTAGAAACAGCCGAATAGAAATAACGTTAATCGTTGCGTTAGAAGTGACAAATCGTCTTTATCGTCCGCGTGACGATTTCGAATCGAAAGTCGGAGCTAATCAAACGTGTGAAAATTCTTCATTGTATCGTGCGCAATTTGCTCGAAGGCAAACGAGAGACAGTTCTCGATAGTGGCGCGTGGTGAGTCTTCTGGAAATCGCGGAGTCATGGTTATTTTCACTCCGGGCCGGTATGACGTACCGCGGCATTCCGCGATATCGATTGAATACGCAAGTGATTTTGGCTGCATTCCGGAATCAGCCATCAATTTTCAAAGCATCATTGCATCGCTGTCAGATGCCAAAAGTTCGGCTAAAGACATCATCGTGTTATCAGCGCACTCTCGGGTAAACTTCGCCGTGACGCATCCTTCCTCCTTGCTTTTCGATTTTCCGAGGTTTGCCAACCGAGATTTGGCAAAAGGGAACACGCTTTGGCTCGGATTGATACTTTCGGCAATTTTATTAAATCGGCGGTAAAGTACGGTTAATTAAACTGCGCGTTCCTTACGTCGATATCTGTTTAAGCAAATTTATCGTCCCTTCCATCCGTTCCATTAAGCGTCCCTCTTCTTTGCGTTTCGTTCTGCGCTTTTGTCCTCTCCTCGTCCGATTTTTACAACCGAGCCGATTAGCAAGTTTCCTCCAAGTTTCGTTCCATCTTTTATGTTTTTTTCGCGGAAACTGGAATGCGGATGTTTGCGTGATGCATCCAATAATTGGGAGACGAGGAGTATAGACATCCGTTATAAAATTGAATTAAATTACAATATCGATATGTAATAGTTACTTCTTTTTTCGAAAAACCAATCGTTTTATTGTACGGATTCATTGATAGTATTAACAAGTAAAGTACGTGGAAACGAAATGATAGATTAATAATTTAATTTTCGAAAAGTATTGCCAAATTAAATAAATATCTTGATGTAAATTCCGAAAATTATGATTGTAACATTAGCAGTTTATTGTGCGCAGTATATTTTCAAATTTTTGTTATTCTCTCGTCGTCTTAAAAATATCTTGCACCAGTTTTATCACTTTTTTTTTTTAATTATTTTATCATTTTTCGGGAATTTATTGTACCTTATTATTAATACATTAATTATTATATAGTATTGATAATTCGCAGTATAAATTTCTCTTTATTTCTTTGTCGCCTGACAAAATATTCTTCCGTCTTTCAACTTCTTGCACAAGTTTTACCATTTCACTATTTTCCATGAATTTACACTTTGCCAATTATTTGCATCTCATTATTCACTTGTAACTATAACAAACTATAACAAAACTTGTAAATTCGAAATAGAATAACAGAACGTACATCGTTGAAAGGAAATATCAATTGACAAACTTCTAAAAAAAGGAGTTATTTCCAAGAAGAAGCAACAATAACTTTATACTCTTACGATATTCTCAGTTTGTGCAAAACTAATAACTTTAACGATATCCAGCAATTAGACCGGCCGGCCTCGAAGGTTTTCTGTGTCCCGGCCGGAAGGAAGGAAGGAAATCCGGCTTCAGCGTGAGAAATTTATTGCCTGAGAACCGAGGCGTTGTACGCGAGAACTTTTTCTATCGATCAGCTTAATTCCCAGTTTTGCTGCTCGCTTTCTTTCCGCGCGATGATCTCCGACTGCGACGGCTCTGTATGTATGTATGTATGTACTTCGGCGCTACCTTAGGGACTTCCTGTCGCGCTGACACCTCCGCGAGATATTACACGTAACGTGTATCACCACGACATTTCAACAACAATGCGGGGACTGTCCTCGGGGACCGAGAGGAATCGAGAGATCGTTGGGGCTGTACATTCACCGCCGAGCGAAACTTTTGAAATTAATAAGTTTGGAAAGAACCGGCGCGCACGTTGCGCCCGTCCTCGTGCAAGTTTCGTAAACCGCTAATTTTCTAAAACAATTGTTAAACCACCAGGGAAACTTGGTCGTGAAATAAAAAGAAAAGAAAGACAGACAGAGAGAGAGAGAGAGAGAGAGAGAGAGGGAGATAGAGAAAAAGAAAATTACACTTTACTAGGATTTCACGGTGGGAAAGTTTTCAGTTGATAATTATTGCACGCTGTATCATTACCCTGTAGTTCTTTCGAAACAGAATTTTTCAATATCGTGTTGTTTGAGGTTTTCCTCGATTGAGATTGTGAAAGTGCCGTAAACATACTTTAGAAGAATCTTTTAACATCTTTATTTATGGAAGATTTCTGGTTTTCGATAGGTTCTGCAGAGCATGATCCTCGCGTATGTTATTAATTTCCCAAAACTTCATCGAATAAAGATTTGATATCATGTTGAGCGCGATGTTATATTGTAGTTTTGAAATTGACATTTTTCAATGACATGTTATTTCAGACTTTTGTTGATAGTAAATTTGTTCATGAAGAAATTTTGCATGAGTACTTCAAAGGACTTTTTAATTCTCTTATTTATGGAGAATTTATTGGGTTAATTCTATATTAATTATATAGAAATATATTATATATTAGAAATATATATTATATATTATATAATTCTATATTAATTCTATATCATATTAATTATTTGGTTAATTCTATAATAGTAGTTAGTTAATTGTCCTCACTATTGACGTACGAAATTATACAAAAAGAGAGAAGATACAAAAGAGACGCGTTTTTAAATTTTAATTTGAAACACACGAATGTTCTCACAATCCTCGCATTTTTAATCACATTTTTAATTGCATAAACTTTATTCATTTGAGATACCATATATATTTTATTTTATTTCATTCTATACTTCTATATTTTTGTTTTATTGTACAATAATATTTTATTACAATACTTTCACTTTGTTTGTCGTTTTTCCAATTACAAAGAAGGAATATGAAACTTTTATAAATTGTTACGTGAAGAAAATGCAATGCTCACCTGATGAAAGCATAACCTTTGTCCTTGAATACACGAATCTCTTGGATGGATCCAAAAGGCGAGAAAGTTTTTTGCATCAATTCTTCTGTTAGTCCATTTGTTAGTCCACCGCAGTATACTGTACAGTTTGTCGGACTACTTTGATTGTACACTTCATCGAAAGTCAATGGCTTCGCGTTTGCTGCAAACAGAAAAATGAGAAAAAAAAGAACGTTAATTAAAATTGAACCCACGTCTGCTGTAGAGAGTAAAGTAGTAAAAAATATCTATTTCTTAGTGTTTCTTTTCTATCTACTTGTTACTTGTTAGTATTACACATATACTATATTCTAAAAAATTCTAAAATTAGTTACTCAGCATGTATTATACTTATATACATATGTTTTTAAAAGCTTCTAATGTATTTTAAGGATACATCATACCGATTTTAGAATTTTAAAAAGCAAAGATTATCTTGCAGTTAGTAAAAGTAAAGGTCGTCTTGTATTAATAACGTTCGATTGAAATAAAAATGAATAATTAAGCAAAGTTTTAGATATTAAAAAGTTGTTAAGTTACATATATTTGTACATGTATCTATGTTCTTAAAAACTTTTATCAGTACACACTGTTTTTTCATTGTTAGTTGAAAAAGAATTTTGAAAACAAAGATTGTCGTTTATTTATAGTATTCGATTATGTAAATTACGTAGGTAAAATTCCAAATATATTCGTAATTGAAATTAATCTTTCACCATCATTGATGTTTCACGTCAAAAATTCCAAAATTCCAACACTAATAGCACACATATGTACATATAATTCAACACATTACATATATTTCAATATACATATTTTAAACATATCGATATAACATTACTCTCTCGCTTTAAGATGTAACTTCAGAATATTCAAAAATTACCTTAATTTCTTAATTTTAATTCGTACATTCGACAACATAAAAACAAATAATTAAATAAAATTCTAAACATTCGCGGTATCTTTGATTCTTCGTCAATTATATCATAATAAAAGCTTCTGACATGTTTCAAAAATAATATCAGTATAACAGAATGTTGTCTCATTGTCAGTCACTACTGTCACACCTAATCGTAGAATATTAAGAAAAGAAAAAACTCTTGAAAGTAAATATTATATTCGTTCAATTAACAAAAAAGTGAGTAATTACGTAAAATTGCAAATACATATATATATATGTATATATATATGTATACACGCGATAGAAATTGATCTTCCGTCGATGTCGATACATTAATAAAGTCGTTAACACCGTCAAATTTGTAATCTAAAGTTCGTTGCGAAGTTCACCAGCGAATTTACACTCGCCTACGTATAACTTGGCCGCGCGCCGCGGAAATTAATTGTAAAATTGCAAACAAAGTACGGAGAATAGTGTACGGGAACGTTATAAAATTCGATCGTTGGGAATATTGAACAGTTCTTCTTTCCTTCTTCCTCCCTCTTCTTCACTTTATCACGATCCTCGTCGGATAGAGTTGTTAAATGGCAGGCTGCATAATCAATAGCCTCACCATTTGGTGAACCAGTTAAAATCGCTGATTGCTTTATCTTTCGAAAGTTTGTCCGCAGTTTGGTCATTAATAACCTTCGTCGAAAGTATGAGCGAGAAAAAAACAGAAAGGACTATTTAATTTATGCAATGTATTAATCACGCTTGAAATGTTTCGCAACTTCGACAAAGTAAGGAACTCGATGAAAACCTGCCGGAAGATTAACAACTTTTTCTATCGCGTTTCCAAGAAACCCGGCTATTTTCATGTTTGCACCGTGTCGGAGATAATTTACCAGTATCGAATGTGTTGCGAATTTGAAGTAACAGAAATAACTCAATAAACGTGCCTCTCGGAGTTATGAAGAACATCGTGGAACAATTGTGAAAATTTTTATTTATTTGTCTTTATGGTTTGTCAGTTGGAGAACAGACTGGAACAGACTATTATTTGAATGAAATACTCGAAAAAAAATACTCCAAGATCTCTTTTGTTTAACTTCTTCTGAAAAACATTATCAAGTGTCTGACAAGTGAGAGAAAAATTTCGATAACTGGTTGTCAGTGTAAAAGCTAATGCACGAAATCGTCGATTCCACGATACGAAACTGAATCAGAGGAAATCCCTTTTTTCATTTCATGTTTTAAGCTAGTATTTAAAATCGTTGCTCCCTTTCGGAGAAATATTCGACGTTTTGATATTTTACGATATATCTGGTTTAATACGGTTTTAACACATTATTCCTGTTTGCCTACATTAAAACATTATACATATATAGAAAAAAAATATATATATATATCCACGTACGAGTGTTCGCTATGATTTGTATCTTCGAAATGTGCATTTTAAAGAAATTAAAATATTTACCATGCACGAATATTTAATGGTTTACGATGATTGAGAACCGAATAATTTTTCAGTATAATGGACCTTAATGGAACACATATATTTCCAACTTGTATATATAGGAAAAATACTGTCGATTCGTAATTATATTTTAATAATAATTCTTTTAATAATAACTCTATAATTATATAATCCATTTTACATAATTAATGGCTTTGCAACATGTATAATGAAAAGACACTATCTTTAAATATTCAATAATTCATTTTCAATCTTTCCGTTAGTCCCATGTTACTTCTTTCTACTTATTGTTCGTCATCCATTTAGATTCGACAATATTACCGAAAATTTAAAACAGAGTGAAGTTTTTTTTACGAACTATTGCAATTTCCCATTTGGATCCCAGTACGATTTAAAAAAAAAAAAAAAAAATCCAAATTTCCAAAAAATCTTGGATTAATTCGAACCACGTACTCGAATGATAGTTTATTTGCGAGTTCGTCGACGAATGCGTCCGCTTCGTCCGCCGTTTAACCTCGCGACGACACCCGGAAAAGGGGTCAGGTTTGACGACGCGGAGCGGAACTCCGGCTGTAGCAGGCTAGCTGTTCGAGATATCGAACGGCCAATACCAAAGAGGTTGAACCCCCCCCCTCCGTCAGCCGAGTTTACGATCGCACGGGGGTTTAGCTCTGTACTAAGGCAGCGGGCTAGCGGGTGTAAACGCGACCGGTAAACCACGGCCTGTAATTGCCTCGTTCGAGGATAGAAGGTTCTCAGGAACGTTGGAACGTTCCGTTAAGAACTTACCAGGGGGACGTTCTCTTCGTTTCTGAAAGCTCGGCATTATCTCTTTATTGCCCCCTGAACGTTATTCTCGGTATTCTCGGAATGTCTCATCCCCTTTCACCTCGTCCTCTTTTCCCCCTCGTCATGTAGCTGTGCTATCGGTTCGCTTAGAAGAAAAAAAAAAGGAAAATTTCTGTGCCCGCTAAAACGCTTACGTAGGTACTATAATATCGATTTTTCTCTTGTGTCCGTGAAATTATTATTTCCCTTTTTACGAGGCCTCGAGCCGCGCCGCTTTCGACGATCGATGCCGACCGAACGGCGAATGTCAAAGCGTTGTTCGTTTCGCGGACATTGGATATTACCGGTAAATTTTCCTCTTTCATTATTTGCGACATTTAGGGTACGCGGTCGATCGTTGAAATCGTACGAGCGTTAGCTTTTAGTGATCGATAGCGAAGGCTTTCGAGCTTTTGTATATTTTATGGACGATATATTTTACAATATTTTCCGATGTTCTGCCACGTTGATGTCATTGGTCGATAGTGTCGATAAATATTAACAATTAAATTATTAAAATAATAAATAATAATCGAAAGTGTAAATTGTTCTTAATAATTAAATGTTTTCTGAAATCATTAAATTTTACTAACTTTGATGTTTGGATAAACGTGTTTTTTTTTTGTTACTTCTTATTTGGATTGGATAAAACAGAAATAAGAAATAATTTTCAATTTTCTTTTTCATCTGTAGATTTGTTTAAACACTGTCCTTACCTTTTATGAATATACGTCCTCTTTGGACGTTAATTCTCCTTTTCAATAAAATAGCTCGCAGTTCGCGTTTACTTTTAAAATTTCTCTTTGTAAAATAGAAACGTTGGGTTATCAGAAATCTGCACAGAAGTTATCCGTACCAGAAGTTTTTTTATTTCAAAGTTTGACACGTCACGCACAATCTTTTACTCGTGAAATAGGTATATATTTCAACAAAATGTTACGTACATAATTTTACTTATCGCAGGCAAGGTGTATATTAGACGATAAATCTAATATGTTTTTTTACATTTATTTTATATTTTTAGAATTCTTGAATTTAATTACAATAAAAAAATTTCATTATTTTCGTTAATTATTAATTAATTAATATACATTCATTATTAATATATTTTATCGTTAACCTTAATTATATATATGCATATATATATATATATTAATTATTAAAATATTACATTAATAGAACATTCTATCGTTCTTCTATAATATTTGACACGTGAAATAATTTTTCACCAAGACTCCGCATTTTTAATTGTATCCTCGAAAAATACGAATTCGCAATAGTCTGCAGTCTAGCTAGAACACATTACGTTAAGCTATAATTTCCAAGTTAATAGGAAAGAAAGCCTAGACTGATCTCACGGAATATACTTTCTCGTTTCACGTTGGAGGAAAAAAAAAGAAAATCGAAATTCATATCTGGAGATCTATACGAAAAATTGCCACGAAAGCCTTAGAAGATAGTAGGTTGAAAAAAAATAGGAAAAAAATGGAGGAGTTACTATAGATCGGTAGCACGATAAAGCTTTCGTAGTAGCATGACTCGTTGAATGAAAATCAGCTTTAAAAGAAAAGATCGTGGAGATGAGATCGGTTCGCCGGAAAGGCATCCTCAGATAGAAAGAGTAACCATTTGCGATCAAAAATTTTATCCGGGCTTATTCACGCTGAAAGTTTATCGACTTTCGAGTGATTCGTAACCATCTCTTGTCCCAGATCCCATATTAAAATGCAGATAACCGTAACTTGAACTTTCTGGATAGTATGTAATTCAGATACATACAGCTGATCAAAAATAATTTTTCAAGCGTTTTATTAATAAACAAGAAAGTACAGATATTATTCGAAAAAATATTGTCACATCTATTCAATGTTTTAAGTAATTCCTTATTCTCTTCAAGTTTGACGATGATCAAGTGAGATTTAATATGATGGTGAATGAAAAATTCAATTAAGTAGTTGTACATGAAATAGTACAT